GCATCTTGCCGGCTTTCTTCTCCAGAATGGTTTGGTCCTGTATTCGACCGATTTCGGGGGGATTCCTTAGAAACTCCGGTTCTTGTGGGGTCAACCATCAGCGATTGCCTCTGAGGGTTGATGGGTTATTGGTAGTCTCGTGTCTCTATCTTGGCGCACTCTACGCGACTTTTCCGAAGTAATCTGCCTCGCGAGGAGCGCAGAAGTTCCAAACCCAAAGGCCTCGGTCGACAGGAGATCTATGGGATCCTGCCTAAAATGAATGTCGGATGTGATCGTGTAAGTACTCGGATTGGTTCCGGATAACTTTGGGGCTTGGACGTGATCTCGAACAAACAGCTGCGATATTGTTTAGAAGCCGTCACCGGCTGGGACGAGACTTTTGATATAATGTAACGGCGCAGGTAAGGCAGGTCGGATCTGTTTCGGTCGTAGGATCACTCAGAGGCATATGGGAGTGCGTGGGATCACAAAGAGCCTAGATTCAACAAGCCACCTATAGGCCTTGTACGAAAGGATATCAAAAGTCTACAGAGCTAGCTACAGGGAGTGTCTCAATATATACCTATCCTAGTCGGGTCCGAATTCGGATCCGACCTCGGGCGAATGGCTGATGAAGGGCGGCAGGTACTTCCTCCGATCCGGCTCTGGGATTGGATCAATACTTGGCGAAGTTGTAACATCGTTACAGCCACCCAGCTTGCCTAGAATTAAAACACTAAGCTTTTATACTAAATAAGTATTATTTAATTACTAAGTTAGTTATAATATTTAGTACTAAGTTATTATAGTATAGTGCTAACTTTATATAGTTTGAATGCGCTTACACCAATGCAGACCTCTGCTAAGTAGTAGGCTAGATAGCCGCTTAGTGGTAGGACGAATAACTTTTGCCGGGGGGGGGGGGGGGTAATGCGTTGCAGGCCGCGGGATTATGATTACTATTACTACTGTAGTCGTATTCGGTGGATTAATTAATCCATGGTGGTTGTTGTGTTGGGCGGGACTTTTTTTTTCTTAAAAAAAATATTTACGAGTCAGTTGATGTCGTAAGCTGGTCGGTGACAGTGACGGGGTAAGGCGATGGGAAATATTATGTCAGTATGTACGTATATGGAAAGAAATGGGTGGCACGGATTACCATGGCTTGCGTCAATGCGGGGAGCGTCAAGGGTGATGCTGGATATTAGAGTTGGGGAGATTTAATATAAGATTTAATAATTTTGATCGATATTAGGAGGGATGTCCTTGGATGGCTTGTGCGAGGATGGGCTGGATTGGGTAAGATGACGATGGCGATTGAGACGAAGGGGGAGAGAAGTCATTTATGGATGATACATATAACTAAAACAACGTGTATTTTTTTGTGATTGCGAATGTGCTGGATAGATACGTATGTATGTATGTATGTGGGTATGAATGAGCGACGCCAACACTCTAGACTAACTAGAATCACCACCCTCACACTTCAATGCGTACTAGTTCCATCCTTGAATCCTTCTACGCACTGGGTCCAGGCCATACACTACTGAGCCTCCTTCTTCGCCCTGTCATGGCACTACCGGGACTAACGCTTCTTGTGCCAGCCATACCCGTCGGCGCGAAACTGTTCTCAAGTATAGCGTCCTCCAAGTCATCTTCTTCTTCAATCGACATTACCACATCTGGCGGCGGCTCCTCCTCAAAGACAGCCTGCAGGTCTGCGTGGGGATTGAGTTGCTTCCAGCTATGCCAGAAGCCCACGTCTTGCAGGAACATGGTGCGTTTTGAGGGCCCTGGGCCATTTACGCTGAGACGGCGTACGGGCTTCCAGAGAGAACGGCGCTCGTAGTAGGTTATAAAGAGGAGAATAGGAAAGTTGAGGACGCGAATTGCCGTAATGTTGATCTTGTGGAACCAGCGTGGCGAGAGGATGAACTTGAGCGGGAGTAAAATGACAAATGCGAGAAGATTAAAAGGCGGGCGGTAGGCAAAAAGCGAGTCTGATTTGACGCCTTCAAACGTCAGGACAGCGCGGCGGAATTGAATCTCTGCAGTCGCATCGGCGGCAATCTTGGAAAATGTGTTTGACAACATGGATACCAAGACGGTCAGAAACAAGGTGTTGCCTAGAAACGCATAGATGACCATGAGCGTGGGCCCGAGGATCTCGTGGAAACGAGGTGCTTCGTCGATTCCTGTACCATCCAGACCGAACCAGATCCATAACATCCACTTGGAAATGGTAATGGAGTTGGGCGACCCTTCGTAGCCGACGGCGGGGTTGCTAATACTCAGCCACTTGAGTGCTAAGAGGACACCGCCAAAGCACCAGACGGCAATCAGACTCAGTGCCGTGAATTCCTTAACCATGGCTCGGAGAGAGATGAAAAGCATGTTCTCGGGCATCAGATTGAATGCGATGCGTGGGAAGAGAATAGGCGCGGCTACGGCAAGGACGTCGAGAGCCTGTCGCCCAGTCTCGTCTTGATTTGTCAACCAGCCGTGGAAGCGCATGCAGATGTAGACGATGAATATGCCGGAGAAGGTGACATCCATAAAGGCCCACAGTTCTTGTGTGTGCACCTCCCAACCATGTTCAAGACATGAAGTCAACTCGTCGAGCACCCAGCCAGCACCATAGACCATGAAAACAAGCTCGGGACCAGTGAGAAAATGGTCTTTCCGTGCCGACATGCACCAACAGTATAGGGCCAGGAGTATGCAAAACTGAAATACTTCAATCACATTGCGCGTTCTCGGCACCATGAGTCGGTATTGGTTGAGCACAGGCGCTTTTCGCGGGTCATATAGCGAGATGGGCTTGTACTTGTAGTGGTCTGGGATGATATCCATAAAGGTAGTCGGTGTATATACGATACGGCCGCGGTAGATGGCATCGATGACTTTCTGGCTCGCGGAACCAGCTAGGAGCACTTTGCTCTCGGAGACAATGGCAACCTCCAAGGCAGTGAGCTTGCCATCGTTGTCGCCCTGGCCTTGGTAGTCAGATACATGTCGCGGCGGACACCGCTCCGCCGGAGCTCCTTGGAAGGGTTGGAATGGTGCTACTAGAATCTGGGCTAGTAGGAGCAGGCCGGCTTTGCCCGTAGACTCTTCGTCGTGCCGCCGCAAGACTTTCATGGCGACCAGCTCGCACAGATTGGCACGTGTGAGATCGACGGTCTGGTGATGTTGTTGGAACTGCTGGTCCCGCAGGAATTGCATGCGGTTGACAAGCAGGCAGTAGACAATGGAGATGTCGTCCTCATCGTAGAGACGATCTACAAGCGGCTTTACAATGAGGACATTCATACGGGGCTCCCGAAGCTGGTCCACTGTGTAGGGATCCTCAATGACAGCCAGGACCAGTCGTCGTATCCTGCTCTACTGTAAGCGCCGGTTTGCAGTCTGCAGTCGAATGGCTGGGCTTACCGATGGATATTGAAGTACGTGCGATAAGTCAGATAGTTGTTCACGGGATGTGTGCCGGGGATCCTCGGGGCCATGGGCTGGCCCTGCCCGTTGAAGCATCCATCGCTGCCAGCATAGTCTTCTTCGGGTAGCAACGTCTCCTGCTCCTCTCTGCTCCTTGCCGACCGCAACGCATCGCTCAGGGTGCGTTGCGTGTCCTTGTAGGGGCGCTTGAGATATTTTCTAAACTCAATATGCCTTGATGGCTTGCGCTCTGGCACAGGCCTAGACGTTGGCGAGAGATCGTCATCTTCAACAGTAGACTCAAGGGTGGTGCTGTCGTTGCTGTCGCCGTGGCTGGTGGCGGGGTCGGAGATGAAGGATGGACGTGAAAAGGTGCCATAGGCGGGACTGCCGCTTGTGTTCAAGTCAGCGTTGGATGTTGGGGCTGACATTGGAGGCTGCCGTCAGCCTCGCACGGTAGTAGTAAGAGAGGCTCCAGTAAAAGAGGTAGGATTCAGCGGGTCGCGCGCGTGACAGAAGTGGCTAAGCCTGATCAGTGTCCGAGGCCAGGATGCGTGGCGCGAGGGGGGTGGGGTAAGTGCTGCGGTTTGTCGATTTGGCAGCGCAGTGTGGGCAGCGCACTGGCGGAGGACGTGGAACCCGGTCAAGGCAAAGCTTATGTAGTCTCGACGACAGCAGGCGAGGCAGCGTGGGATGTTGATAAGATGGCAAAAAGACAATGAAGCCCTGCTGCGGCCATTCGAGGCAGTGGGCGTGTTTCACGCTAAACTGGAGGCGCGCTAGCCCTTCTGGGCATAGACTGGCCTCGTGATTCTTGACGTTACTCTCAGACTACGTACGTACAAGCCTCACGATATACCTTGGCTACCCCACCCTCTCTGACCGCCCACTTATCTCCCGCACAAAGAAAACAGCTCAGCAACCATGGTCATGTGAAGACGCCGATTGCCACACCAGCGGCCCGGCTCCATGGATCTACACAAGCCTGAAGTGTGGTCAAGGGGAAGCAACGTCACTGGTCTTGTATCCAGAGGACCCAGAGTTGTCAGTTGGTAGATGCGTGGCGTCTTCTAGTTGGCCTGGTCCATGAACATGAATAGTGAGCTATTTTTGATTAGGATGGAGGGTAGTTGGGAAATATTGTTCAAGAATGGGACAGCCCGAAGTCGTGCAGGGGAGCTTTATCAGACCCATGCTTCTGGGAGATGACGATACCGCGACTGCAATCCGAGCATAGGAGTTGCATTGATCCTGCATGAGAAGACAAGCAGACCTATTGAAGGCGGTTTGTGTCTCCAAGATATCGATAACTTTTGTGGGGGTAGTTGTTGGATTGTAGCACAGTATAGATGGCAGTGGAAGATAGTAGCAGAATACGTACTAGTATTGCACGAGACGGGTCGCTAGTGAGATGGATTGGCGATTGGAAGTAGTTACCACGTTCATGTTAGGGCATGTGATAGTAACTCGGATATTGCTGTCTGATGAGGGCTCTAACAGCTTCTCTACATCTGACTACATGTGGTATATTCTTCCAAGTTATTCGACGCTGACTTGGCGGGTCCACAATGCGGTGAGTTACACATACGAGACAGCAGTATGGTACTAGACTAGCACCTTGAACACAACAACTACTTATTACTCTACACAATGCCTACTATACCCATACGTTGATTCTCGTGGGCTTGTTGGTAAAATATCAGCTTGATGGAAACGAGTATGGGGATGTAGATATGTATGTGTTACATTTTACATCCCTACGTAAACCTCGCGTGGTGCATGAAGACGAGCGAAACCCGAGGCTTACATTGGGCCAGCAGTATGGGGGTGTGATGTGATGTAATGGAATGCATTCAACTTCCCTCCAACAGTGTAGTGAGATAACACCAAAGCTCACATATAACTAAGATCACACCTATTTGAGACAAACCAAAGCAAACTGCTGAAATGACAGACAACTTTGACACGTCTCAACTCTTGAATAACCTCAATTGACAATACCAAATCCCAAGCCACACCACACGGCCGCACGCGACCGTTTGCACTGGCAGGACATGGCCCCAATCAAGCTAATTGCGTTCACCTACTCGATTCATCACGCTGTCTTTGATAAACCCTCATATTCACGCAGTACGTGAGCTGGATCAAACGGGCTCGCACGCAGACGCGTCATTCTGGTACTCTCATTCACCTCGAGGTGGCGCACCTGCCAAAGGTGAAAGATGTGACTGTTTCTGCCTGCGCAGGCATCCACTCACGACCAGCAAGCAACTTTTGCGAGTGACTGTCGCTGCAAGCCATGCTGCTCTTTTGACTCTCTCCCACAGTTCCTCTCCAATCCGCGTAACCTCTCGCCCGCATCCGCCGCCTCAGTGAAGAACCTCTGCACCATGGACCAAGAACCCTTCCAGGACTACTATGCCGTGCTTGGCCTGCAACTCGGAGCCAGCCACGACGCCATCAAAGCAGCTTTCCGCGCCCTGGCCATCGTACACCACCCGGACAAATCTGGAACCAGCGACTCGACCGTGTTTCGTGCCGCGCGTGAAGCATATGAGAAGCTTACGGACGCTGACTACCGCAGAGCATATGACAGGACGTACTGGCGCCGCAAATTTCAAACCGATCCCCCTATCCAGCAGGATGTCGACAACACACGTACGAAGCAGTATGAGGCTGAGATGCGGGAGCGTGCCCGCCGAGCAAGTCCCCCGCCCAAGAAGCCGTTCAAGAAGACTGGCGATCCCCCCTGGAAGTATCTCAATAGCGCCGCGTACCAGAAGTGGCAGCGCGAGATGGCCGAGTACTATGCTAGGCATCCCGAGTGTGACACTCCGTAGGTGAACCACCGACATATCATGTCACTGCAAGAATTTACTGATGTGCTGCAGAGCCCCCGAGAGCGAACCGCCCAGTCCGGGTCCTGGCGCGCTGGCTCACGGTCTTGTTGTCAACATGTCACATGCATGCGTACTACAGACTTGCAGTTATCGGACTTTCTCCTGGCACGTCCAGCCAGGCGGACCTGACCACTGTGTCTACTGCGTCGAGGCACACGTCGGCTGCAGCAGGTGTCCTGGCTGTCAAGCTCTGGCATGCCAGAAGTGCCTGAGCAAGATTGCCGATCTAGAGTGCAAGCCGTTCAGTAGTTTTGGAAACAAATCCCAGTATACTGCGTCTGGAGGCTAGACATGGCGGGGCTGTAGGGACCAGAGTACTCGTTACGCGATAACGGAGAGACTCGCGCAGTACAGTCTTTCACTGACATGGAACACGAAGTTATGAATGGGTTTCTTTGGGATACGGGGCGTTTTGGATGTTTCATGGGGGATACGCGTGTACACTAGGATATTCTCTCGGGGTTTTACGGGAGGGGCTGGGATTTGGTCTATACCAAGGTTGGAAATAATGCCTATGGCCCAAACGAGATTACGTGAGCGATATGGCTTAAGCAATGCAGACATTACGATACATGTTCTTTTAAAGTTCTGAGATTCACAGGGATGAGATGCGCTGGGGCTTACGTACGTGGCGAGGCGAGTTTAGTAAGCACAAAAGGAGCAAGCAATACATGTTTGTGTTTCTCGAAGCAACTAGCTGCAAACGCATACCGTCCAGATGCCAAAACAATAACATTGTTACCAATCACTCTCTACGCAGCCATTCATGGATTTGAAATTCTAGTTGCAGAGCATATTCCAACAAACTCTCCCACCATGACCAATACCCATTGCAGTCCTATTACATAGCAATGACTAGTAGAGTGTCCAAATCATGAGTTGTTTGGTGAGGTGGAATAATTTGAGAAGAGTTCCGCTAGTTCTGATTGTAGTTCCATACGCAAGTATCCATGCTGGCCAAACACTTGGTCAACACCTCTCCCAAGATCAAACAGAGATATGCGACGAGACGAGTGCAGAAAGAAAGAAAAAATACAGGGACGCTCGTTCCTATGCAAGACGCAACATTCTAGAACCAAGTGCACTAAGCATTTCCTATCCAGCGTGTGTATATGCGCACCGCATAAACGTCTCAGCAATCAGTGTCAGCGTCCGCTGTAATGGCATGTGGTAGCTAGGCCAGCGGCGGACACGTGCACGCTACACTATAGGCTGAGGAAAGGAACATGCAGCTAGCGTGTTTGAAGCGACGGTGGTGGTGGGATAGTCGAGCATGAGACAAATGCAAACATGGACCAAGTGCGTATGACGTAGACAGGGCGGCAGAGCGCAAGGGGGGGGGAGGGGGGAAAGCCCACATAGATGTGTGCGTGTTCATGACGATCTAAATAAAGACGCAAGGCTAGCTGGATATGAACAGCGCTGGCACTCGAAGAAGGTTGAGAAGATTCTAACAATAACTTGGTGGTTCGTTCACTGCCGTTGCCAAGAAGCCACAGCACAGCCCCTCCGCGCACCGGTCACGTGACTAGGACCGCTTAGCGCCGTGATGCGGGCACTTGGCAGGAGAAGGGGAAGGGATAGACGAGCCAAGGCAAAGGTTCGTTTGATCCTTTTCTCTCGGCTGTGCAGCCGATGGCGCTGGAGCGTATCCCACGGGCGGCTGACTGACGGTGACGGGGCCAAGGTGTGTGCCGTGGGCCAAGGTGTATGCCACGAGTCTGGGTGTAAAGTTTCCCTCGTGCTCACAGCCACCGCCAAACGTCTAAACGTGAACGTTTAAACAATTGTGTGTGGGACGAGTAGTACGGTAGTTTCTGTGGCGAGAGGGCGAGAGAGAGAGAGAGAGAGAGCGAGCCCGTAGCCTTGCTTTGCCCCATCAATTTGCCACGGGTGAGTGCATTTACTGGGGGGTGTTTTTCAGCTTGCTGCATTTGGTCGGGCGCAAGATGCACTATTCGAGCATCTTCATATAAGTGTAAGCACTACAGGCCATGGCTGCAGGCGTGAGTGAATTCCCTTGGTGCTGGCTACGGGGTCATGGGGCGATGGACAAGTGCACAATCTAGCCTTTTGCCGTGGAGCGGCAGTGGGCTAGCCTTGGACGGGTTGGAGGCGCCATGGAGATACGAGGCCGTAGGCGAGAGAGCGGGGAAGGATGCTGGGCTAGGCTCGGAGCATGGCGGAAATGTCGACGAGGGCCAAGGTAGATGGCGATGGGCATAGGTGTAGTGCAGGCGGGCCGTCGGCCAGCGTGCTCAGGCAGAGGGCGTAGCGGGAGCGTGGTGTTGTGTGCAGAAGAAGCAGTGCAGAGGCCGGGGATGGTGGTTGATGGTGATGCGGAGGTGAAACGCGTGGCGGGAGGGCCACAGGCAAAGGCGAGGAGCCCCCGCACGTGAGCGGCGCACGGGCCATGGCGATGCATCAGCACACTTACTTTGGAAACGCCTACGCCTTTGCATTGCCATGGACGCCCGCATCGCATGTGTGTGTCGCTCCACTTTTGGACGCGCAATAACACCCGGGATGCGGCGCGCGCAGAGGCCCCGTCAGCCGCACGTCGTCGGGACCTGAGGCACAGGCGTCACGTCTGTCGGTGCAAATGGCTCTGCAGCGTCCTGATTGGGATCCGCCCTCGCCGGCGGCGCCCATCCCTGACGGCGCCAGACCCAGCGGCTGCGTGCAAAGACGGCGCTTTATCCTCAAACACGCGCCCTGTATAAGGTGCAACAGGGCCGCCACGGGCATGAACCACGGCTAACTCGTTCCACAGACCCGGCCACGGCATTCCAGCCCCGGCCGACGCCATATCCTCGCCCCTCCTCGTCGCCTACTATAGTATACACGCTCTCTCTGGTTCCTTTGTCGTGTTTGCTGGCCATTCACTGCCCTGCCACCACTCACCCACTCGCACACACACGCTTCCCTTCGTTTCCCCTTCAACAGCCAGAGTCCACATTCAACATGGACCTCTACCGCGCCACCTTTGCCGGATCCCTGCTGCTCAATGCCTTTGCCTTCTACCACACGCACCGCTCGCGCAAGGCCGCCGCCGACGACCATGCCCCCTCGGACAAGAAGGACGAGCATGGCTACATGGAGCCCGACATGCTGGGCCTGGCCAGGCTGAAGAAGCGCTTCTTTCCCATCTATCTGCTCGTGAATGCCGCCGACTGGCTTCAGGGCCCCTACATATATCCCATCTACAAAGGTCCGTGGCATGATGCCATCCCCAGCTCCACGTAAATGCTCACCAGCCCTTGCAGACGAAAAGGGCCTCCCCGAAGAAACAGTGGCGTTTCTTTTCCTGACGGGCTTCATCTCGGCGGGCATCTCGGCATCTTTTGTCGGCGCCCTCGCAGATCGATATGGCCGCAGGACTGCCTGCCTCGGCTACTGCGCCCTGTACTCGCTGTCGTGTGCTACGCTCCTCAGCAACAACATCTACCTCCTCTTCCTCGGCCGCATCCTCGGCGGAGTCTGTGGAACCGTTCTCTGGAGCGTCTTCGAAAGCTGGCTGGTCGCCGAGTTCAACCAGCTCATGCTGCAGGATGGCGAGCCGCACTTGAGCAGCATCTTCAGCACCATGACCACGTCCAACACATGCGCTGCCATTGCCTCTGGCATCTTTGCCGAATGGGCCGTCAGCAAGACGGGCACGGCAAAGACGCCCTTCATGGCGTCGATTGGGTGCTTGGCCTTGTCGTTCCTGGCCATCTCGACCTACTGGGGCGAAAACTATGGATCCAACAACCGCCGCGCGTCGGAGACCGAGGGCCTGCTCCAGCAGGAAGAGGCGACGCCAGCCCCGCCGTCGACGTCGGCTCTGCGCACCATTCTCCGCGACCGCAACATTATGATTCTCGCGCTGGTCTCGGGTTTCTTTGAGGGCTCGCTTTTCCTGTTTATTTTCTTCAAGTTTCCGGCATTGAAGCTGAGCCACCAGCTCTCGGGTTCAACCGACGGTATGCATTTCCACGCTCATCTCCTGAAGCCTAGGCGCGTACAAGCTGACATTGCGACCAGAACTGCCGTTTGGCCTCATCTTTGCCATTCTCATGTGCTCCATGATGCTCGGATCTCTCCTTTACAAGCACGTTTCGACGTCAGCGGACCCCCTGCCCGCGCAAAAGATGCTGACGGGCATCCTTGCCGTTTCCTCACTCTGCTTCCTGATTCCCGGGCACTTTCGCGACGAGCGCCTGACGCTCTGGTGCTTCTGCATCTTTGAGCTGTGCTGCGGAGTCTACTATCCCGCAATGGGCTCGCTGAAAAGCAAGCTGATTGAAGACGGGTCGCGCGCCAGCATCTACGGCATCCTGCGCATTCCGCTCAACGTCTTTGTGGTGCTTGCGCTCAGCACGACCAAGGAGGGTACGTAGCCATTTCAAAGTCCCGAGGGAAGCAAGCTAACGTATGCAGGCGAGGCGCATCGCGATACCGTATTTACCACATGCAGCGTGCTGCTCGTAGTGGCAGCCATTTTTGTCCACAAGACACTCGCAACAGCGGGACCCAAGAGGAGAGCGAGGCGTAGGCGATACCAGGCCCATTACGCGTCCACACGCACGCCCGCCATTATTGCCGAGCGCCTATCAGCTCGCGCCCCTCGCCGTGGCTCGTCTCTTGTCCCGTGTTTAGTTAGAGATATACACATGGCGTGCATGGCTCCAATCGAGCAACAAAGCCGTGCCGCCCCTGCTGATCAGCCGTCGCCATACGAGCTTACGGAGGGCGCAGGGCCAGTACATTGGCTGGCGGGGGGCGGGGCTGGCGCAGGACTAGACATGGTGGTGTAGTAGTAGTCGTCGTGATGGCTGACCGAGTCGAGATGACGACGATGATGGTGATGATGATGATGATGATGATGATGATGGGGTGATGGATGGGCGATGGATGGACGATGGAGGGATGATGGAGGGAGCGACTGAGTAAGAGAATGCATGCTGGCCGTTGGTGGCGGGCGTGGCGGCAGGAGGAAAAGGCAGTGGGGCGCTTTGTTGGGTTGGCATCAGCCCGCCGGCGTCGTTTCATCCCTCAGCCGGGCATTTGTCTGTGCGCCGCCCTCTCCACATAGCACTGGCACCATGGCACACACACACACACACATATCGCCACTCCGGAGCATGTCGAGGCTGCTCGATGCTTATACATGCTCACGCGGGTGCATCATTGGTCAGCCTAGTCGTGTTCATGTCATGTGTGGTACGCTTATTCTATTCTTGCCCAGCTATCAACGTCTATCCTTCCATGCATCCATCCATTCACCATCCAACAAAGACATACATAAAAAAAAAGATACAAAAATAGCTCTGCAGACGCCTGGGGTATTGTGCTTGTTGGTACAACACTATTTACAGAATAAACTACTATGACGATGCAAGTGCAGTGCATACCATGGTACAGAGACAGGGTGTCATCCCAGTTACGAGTACTACACTGGCAGCAGAGCTACACCTACACCTGCATAGTCTGGTGGAAAAGGCTTTCCTTTTTCGAGATACTAGCGCCGTCCCCAGTTACAGATGCAGTAAGACTGGGACTTAGGCTTGTTTCGGCGGCAATGCTTGGCATGTGTCCAAACGGCCTTCGCCTTGTCAGGGAGTAGCTGGACACATGCAGGAAGCGGGCCTGTGTCTGTCTGTTTGACCATCACTTGGCCCGCCGCCTGCGCGTAGGGGTCCCAGACGCTTTGAATCTGCTGGCTCCTTTCTTATTTGATTCTTGGCCCTCGCCTTCTTCCCAGACATCCATCCTTTGCGTCTTTTTCTTTCTTTCTTCCTTTTGACATATACACACACTCTCTCTCCCTCCGCGTGTCTCGCTCTCAGCCTTTGACTCGCGCGCTCCCCCAAACTACTGTCCTCCACCGATTCAACTCGGAGGCACATGTACCCATCACGGTCGCTCCCCATCTCTCTCACCTAGATATCTGGACGCCATCTTCTCAACCGCAATCATGTTGAGGTCTTTTGGAGGTAATTCGCCGCCATGCTCCCCTGCGGACCATGGCTAACCTGATGGCACCAGCACGTGTATTCGCAGCAATCTTTGTTCTAGTCTTCCTCATCGTCATCTTCCACAACGAGGAATCCGCTGGCACGGCTCTCCTTCCCTACCTCCCAGTCTTGCCATCAACTGGCTCCTCGCAATCCTCGTCGCTCCTCAGAGCATGGATCAAAGACCGTTCGGCCCTGTCTGAGAAGTCGTGGAAGAAGAGCGTTGACCTGCGCGACTCCATGGCAAAGACGCATCCCGATAACCCAAAGATCCCCTTTTTCCCCCAAGACTTCCTCAAGTACCCATTTACCATCTGGGACTTTTTCCCCCCTACATGGACATGCCCCCATGACATCCAGCGTGTTGGTCGCCTTGGTGACGGCGGCAAATGGGTCTGCGGCATGAGCGTGTACGAGGGACTTCCGGCGCTGAAAAGCGCGCCGCAAACCTCGACTTCGCAAGAGCCGCTGTCCGACGCCCAAGATGGCCTTGTCATGTACAGTTTCGGTATCAACGGCGAGTCTTCGTTCGAAGCTGAAATGCTCGAGCGAGTCCCTAGTGCGCGCATCTGGGGCTACGACTTTTCCGTCGAGGGCTGGGGCCCCCAGATTGCCCAGCAGCACCGACACCGCACCTTTTTCAAGAAAGTCGGTCTCGGCAAGGAGGACAAGCACCAAAGCGACCCACCCTTCTGGACACTCCCCGAGCTCATGAAGCAGAACAACCACACATACATTGACATCTTGAAAATCGACGTCGAAGGCTCCGAATACGACGCCCTCGACACCATGATGAACGCCTTTGACAACATCAAGTCGGCGTCGGGCAAGTCGGTCCTACCCATTGGTCAGGTGATGATCGAGCTGCATCTCGGCGACGGCATCAACATCGAGGAAGGCACCGTCGGCGGAAACAGCGTCGACTTTAGCCGCTTCCGCTCATGGTGGGAGCGCCTCGAGCGCATGGGCATGCGTCCTGTGTGGATGGAAATCAATCTTTTCGCCGTCACCCTCGGAAAGTCGAAATCCGACCCTCGCTGCACAGAGTATGTGTGGGTCAATGCAAAGGATCAGCGAAATGTCCTTTGGAATGTATAGATGAAATTTTGCATTTGTTATGGATTAGAGAAAGGTACCGTCTGTACCAGGACAAAGTACACGTGATGTACCATATCACGGCGTTTGGGATAGCATTTTGAAATCATACTACTTTTTTTTCAATACGATTATTTTTCGTCTATCTGTTCCAACCGTGCATACTTACTTGGCGCTGTCAATACGGGGGAAATACATGACATCATCCATCTATTCATCCAATTTTGAAACTGCAACTTGTAGCGCGAAACGCCTCCAGTCCCAGTCCCAGCGTCAGTGATAGGCATAGTAGTCGCACCAATATATGGGAGAGGCGGGGTTTGGTCTTGCCGCGTCTCCACTGCTTCGGGCCGATGGACTGAGTAGTGCCGAAGAGTGCTGGTGAGGTGTGATGCCGATGAGTAGTACCGATAACTAACAACCAGACGTCCCAGAGACGGAGGTACAGCGGTGTAGGTGGGAGAAGTCGGATGCGAGATGCGAGAAGCGACAAGAGAGATGCGAGCAGTGGGAAGCGAGAAGCGAGAAGAAACAAGTGAGACTAGCATGCAAGAGAATGAAATGGAATAGATTGCTATGTACGAGGAGGCAGTCAAGGTAAACGGCCAAGGTGATATTGTTTATTTGGACTGGGGGAATTCTGGGGGAATTCTGGGGGAATTCTGGGGGAATTCTGGGGGAATTCTGGGGGAATTCTGGGGGAATTCTAGGGGAATGAGTGAACGAATGCATGATTGAAGAAGGAAGACATGAAGAAGAAGAAAGGATGGACGCTTGCTTCAGTTGCTAAACGCTGAATATCGTCTTGTATGCGACACTTCGTTACTGCACACATATATACTTTTCCTTACATACTTACTCTGTGAGCTAAGGTTTTTGCAATAAGTAGAATGTATAGAATTACGGACTTGGACTTGGGATGTGTGGCAGAATGTTTATAAGGGGGGGTTCTGTGACATGGGGAAAGGGAAGAGTAAATGGGTTTATCAGGATTCGTTTTTGGGGACTAGCTTGGGAAACAGGAAAGGGGATATCGAGTATTTTTTTTAAAGAAACCTTAGTGGTATTAGAGAGAGAGAAATAGGTACTACGGTGTTGACTTTCTTTAAAAGGGGGTTGAACTGTAGGCTTAGCGATAGGGTAGATACCAAGATAGTTGAGAGAGCGTTCGAACGGCTAGAAACGCCAAAACAGCGTCCTGCCTAAACCCGCACCCCCTTTTCCACGACTACTACTATATCTCGCTCATCACTTTACCCATCAATTTCCATCCATACACAAATTGCCAAATCCCATCTCGCACCCACTAGCTTTCATATACTCCCAACAAGGGCGGGCGCAGCATGTAAATCAAGCCAAGTAAGTCATGTTTGGTATAGAGCACTACGGTATATTACACGCATGTGTTCTATGTGCTTCTGGATGGCTTGGCTATTGCTTAGCCTTTTGCTTGGCTTGCGGGCATGAATAGGTAGATGGATGGATATATAGATTGCTAGGCCTGTTATTATCGCCGTCCGCCGTGATGATTTCATCTACTTATGTAGGGGCAGAGGGGGGAGGCGTGAGATTGGGGTTTGATGCGCACATGGATGGGCTGTCGCGGTAATCTTACGTATAGTCTAAATTTGGGATCGTTGTCATGGACGGGTTCGGCAGTGTCATGGTTTGATTAATTGGGATGCCAGGGGCTTGCCCCACGGCTTACTTGGGGTGTAACAGGGAGTCGCTGGGGCAGCTACTACGAGAAGTCGTGGGTACATGTCGCGAGAAGGATTTTTGCGCAGATTTTGAGAATGGATGTATACTGCTGCTTTATAAATGGGAAATCAGTGTTTTCCACTCCCTTTTGCATATAGACGAATGGCTGCATGAAGATATGAGATTGAAAAAGATATGAGTGAATTGGAGGGTTACATGTGTGTAGTCTACATACATAGTGCAGAGCTATGGGTGTAGAGTTACTTTCTGGACGTGATATTCTACAGTGATACTGAAACTTCAATAGCCAGTTGGGTGTAGTACGACACGAGATTGGTAGTCGACTTCTACATCCACCTACCCCAGAGTGAGATGCTCAAAGGTATCTATTTCTGATTCTTAGAGATAATCATGATTACTACGTCCTGTAACTTGAATGTTCAAAGTCAACTTACCTGGTCGGACTCATCATCATCATTCACTTCAACCTCCACATACCGCTCATGCCCCCACGTGCCCTGCGCCAGCAAGATTGCAAAGTCGGCCTCGCTTGTCTCGTCCGTGATGCGAAAAGGCCATGGCTTAACAATGCTATTTGTCGTCTTCAGCTTGACGCCGTTCGCCGCCGCCAGCGCACTCATTCGCCCTGCACGTCGTGCATCAGGGCGCCTCAGAAACGCCTCAAAGTGAGCATCGAAATCGCCAACCATATCCATAGCATCAGCCAGTTTAATCGGATCCGCCGCAGCTGAAAGCCCGTGTCTCAGCGCGTGCTCGACGCTTAGCGGGTCGCGAACCATGTCCACGATCGTAGGCATGAATTTGTAGACTTGTTCTAGGCGCCGTGGATCCGGCTGCGAGAGCGAGGATCGCGAGGCCCATTTATGTGTCTCCGAGATGCCTTCGTGCTCGCGGACGGCTTTCATGAAGAGCAGCAGGAGCGTAGCGTGTGGATTGTCGAGTTTGGGCTTGAGTAGTGGCGCGAAGGTCGAGAGGGTTCGGTGGACGCCTACGGAGCCGTGGTCGCAGATACTCGATACCTTTTGCTTCACTTAGTACAGAGGTGTCGTGAAGGTGGCTGGTATACATGGCTTACTTCTATACGATCGAATTTCGTGGCGCCCATGTAGTTGGGTAGCGTTACGGCGTCGACGGCGAAGATGTAGAAACCCATCTTGACGGCTCTGATCCGCCTGCAAAATTTCAGGAGCAGACTGCGTAGAAAATTGAAAAAAGCCCCGTAAACGTCGTTTTTGGCCGCTCCAGCATGCCCCGCATAGTCGTGGTACGCCCATCCATTCAGCGGGTCGGCGTCGTCGGTCATGGGCCATATGTTTTTCTTTGCAAACATAGTCCTGGGTTGCTTTAGCATCTCTCCCCCTATGTAAACTGTGAATGTACCCACGGATTTGGAACCGTGAAATGCTTTTGCGACGCTCCGAACGGGAGGAGAAGCCCTTGATTGCGGAATCGCCACGCGCCTGTACGCCGCGCAGGCGGCATTTTCAACAACGCTTTATCTACGTAGTCGATCCTCTTCGGCGCCAGTGTCGTCGCATGGCGAAGCTGCATAGCGTCGTGTGCTGAGAGTCCCCTCGGCGGCTGCAGCATGTTTGCCAGTTCCATCCACTGGTGCTTCCTCAATACAATGCGCACCGAGCCATGTCCAAATTTGAATGTTTCCGTGTGTTCTGCCTCATTCTTCTCGTCACTGATGCGGTCACAGACCTTCGTTATGCAGGGCAGAATGCCGTCGTGCAGGGCCTGGAGAATTCGCTCGGGGAGAAGCGCAGAGTACCACAGATGCGTGATGATCGGCACGGCTGTCTCAGCGGGAAAATGCATGGCAGTCAGCACCATGATGATGTTGCGGGCGGTGACGCAAAAGCCGTGGTCGTTGATCGTGACCAGGCATTCGCCTGTGTAGTTGTCAGGTAGCCCAACAACCGTCTTGATAACGTTGCGCAGGTCGCCCGACGCCGCGAATAGAAGCGAAAAGTCACGCGTCGCGCTTTCTTCTCGTCCTTCGTTGCGGTCGAGCCGCAGTATGTCGATTGCTGGCACGTTACCCCATAGGTGATGGTTGTATCCGAACGACGCAAGGGTGAAGTTGCTTGGATTAGACTGTGTCATGAAGGCCGGGATACGCTGCTCAGTGATGAAGCGCGGCCTCCAAGTTTCTTTGAAATGCTCGCCTTTGCATGTCTTCTTGTGGAGTTTCCAGTCGGCTTTTTGACAGGCTTGAGAGCAGTACTGGGTTGCGTGAGTATATAGGTTCTAGTTTCCACAGCTCGAGAGCAGAAGAAACGTACCTGGACGAGGTAGCAGCCGCTGCATACCATGGTTGCTGGTTGCTCACATGGTGAGATCTCTCCGTCAGTGTTGTGATCGGCGTTTGCGCAGAGGGGCGGGTTGAGGAACTCGGATAGATCATACGTGCTGGACGCCATCTTCGCGCTTGAGGTTGAGTTGAAAGGAAGTGGTCTCGAGTGACGGCACGCTGAATCTCTTTGTGGCTGTATTGGCGAAGGCGGGCACTGGCCATGAAGTGAAAGTGAACACTGGAAACGAGAAGTGACCAGCAATTCGTTCTTGGGCAAACAAACCACAATTATTGCTCACTCCCAACAATGCGGCTTGCGATGTCGGTTTTTGTGCAGAATTATACAAACAGAACACGCATCAGGGTTGTTACCAGGCAGCATCTATTGATGGCCAACTCCAGTAAATCTTACTTCCTTCATAATATCTAAACACATCTACTCTCCCGTACCAAGCCCACTCCCAAATACCTTGTCTATCCTCGTCGCCCTCTCCCACACAACTTCTCCCCTCCCATCATCCCCACCCCTCTTCTTGAAGTAAAGTATCCTATGCTGAGGAATAAACTCCTCATCCGTCTGCTCCGTCTTCCACTTCTCTAGTCCCGTCTCTTTTGCACCAAGGAAGCGGTCTTCGTATCCAATGATATAGTCGCTTGGATCGAGACTCGGGTCCCAGCGCAATCGGTTGAGAACATCGGATGCAGGTCGCAGCTTTGCTCTTGAGACAGGTGTTGGGGTGGGTTTGGGGCGCTGAGGTACTGCTCGTTGTGGTTTGGCGTCTTCAGCATCTCCAACGTCTTCCTCAACATCTTCTTCGTCATCCGAATCTGATTCAAGATCCATGGCGTAGTTGCCCCATTCTCGGTCGTCTAGTCGCAGGCCCTTGACGTCGCGCGATTTCACCAGCGAAGCATCGATCCAGCAAGTTGTCGAGTCGAAGTTTTTCTCGTCAGTTCGGAGTTGTGTGAGGAAGCGGTCGAGCACTTTGTCCAACGCTTGTTTGGCTGTTTGCTTGTCTTCGGCGCTCCGTGCCGAACCAGCCTCTGCGGCCTTGGACAAACCAACCAGGTAGCATCCTTGGTAGTCGCTGCTATCGCCTGAATCGCTGGGAGCGCTGTCTGTGAATCGAGCTGGCCAGATCCGCACTTCTGATTCTGGGAGTGCCTTGTGGATATCTGCATGGTCAGCAAAAGGGTAGGACGTTGCCATGTGCCTGCGACTTACCGACAACGAGGGATATGCACCTCGACTCAATCCAACCAATCAAGCTCTTATCCTTTGCCAGTGTGCGTCCCCAGAACTGTATGTCGATCTTGACAAAGTCATTGTAGGTGCTGAGAAACTCCACGGCTCCAAGAGGAAGTTGCACATCTAAACTTGCTTTTGGGGATGCTCCGAAGAACTCTTCCCATGTCATTCCTGGCTTACTGAGTTTTGCATCAGCAGCCTTGAACTCTTTGACCAGCGTCTGTAGACCAGGGGTAGTAGAAGTGTGTGCAATGTTGGAGTTGGGCGCGTGGAAGCCCAGAACCACCATGGGCTCCCTGGCACTACGGTGATAACGCGGCTGCTTCTTGTGAAAGAAGGCATCGTAAACCATCGCATTGGCCCAGTCAAAGTGTCCGTAGTGATAGAAGAAGCTTGCGACGAGATCCGCAACGCTGACTGAACCGACATCATGCGCAAGTCGCTTGCAAACCCAGGAGAGCATGAGCGTAATGTGTACGCCACCAAGATAACCAAACTTTGCAGAATAAACACCGCGCTGAACAGCCCACAGCTTAATACATCGGTACGCTAGACGGAACAATGAGCACGATGGTAGTGTGCGCTGCATGTATAGCAAGTCGCGGTACGGCTTCAGCTTGCGGAGGGAGAGGAGAGAGAGATTGAAGATAGGATCGGATGCTGGAATGTCTGCAAACTCAGCCCATCTGACGTCTTTTTAGTAATTGTACTTAGCATCCAACAAAAAATACTTACCTTTCGACAACCTGCGCTGCGGGACAGTATTGCAAGTCCATCAATATGCCATTGATGGAAAGTTCAAGCATAGTGCCCGTGCTGGCCTCAACCTTCCTCAAGATGCGCACCTGGGTATCTCCAGCTTTGATGAGTCGCTGTCTGGCAAGTTTGAAGAAGGTTTTGGAGCTGATGGTGCCGATGCAGAGACAGTCAACGTCTGAGTTGGATGTCCAAACACCAAGAGCATATGAGCCGACTGGCACCATGACCAGTGGAATATCCGATTGCTCAGACTCGGCATCACTAGGCTTGTTTAATATGACTTGTTGGAGAGTTGAAAATGCGTCTTGTCGTTGTTTTGCCTGCTCTTCGTCGGGAATCATACCATGCACCGCAAGCACCGAGTTTATGGCTGACGCATCGGATAAGGTCACAATTGAGCGCTTCATTTGAACAACGGGCTGGTTTACTGCATCAGTATTGATAGCGTTGTCCGCTACACCACTCGCAATGCGCATTTGTGTTCTCACTCCGTAATGATCGCTGGCGACTACCTGAACATCGTCGATTATCTCAGGAAGACCAAAGTGATTGAAGCGGCTGATGCGAAGCGTATGTTTTGGGCGAACAAGGATCCTGTCATAGCGTTGCGGGCGGTCGTGTGAAGTGGTAGTAGTCCCAGCAGCAAGCCTGTTGTTTTGCGGATCAAAGGTCGCCCCCTCTTCGCCTTCGAACAGCTCTCCTGCGTCAGCAATACGTGTCTGGTCGGTTGCTTCTACTCGGGAAACGGACCAGGCATCCAGTAAACCAGCATCGCTGATGGAAGTCTCTATAGAGACTAGTGTGTTGGCGGTCTCGTCAGTAATAGCCTTGTTCTTGCAAGCAGCGTCTATGGTGTAGGTCGAGGTGACAAGATTGAAATCGCCTGTGACGATCCATGGCTCCTCGTCATGGTTTTGCTCGAGATAGCCCACCAAAGTCTTCATCTGAGCCCTCTTGGTTGCGACTGCTCCGTCCGTAAGACCAGCAGTCAAGTGGACACCAGCAATTACAAGGCCTTGGGAGTCCGCCGAGCCAGATGCAGCAATACCTGGGAAATGCGCAACAATGGCGCCCTTGTGTCTGCGATAAAATGAAACCAGCTTCCATGAAAAGGGATAGCAGCTCAGGACAACGATGTTGCGTAGATTAGGTAGCGGTCCAATGTCCGGCTGCGCAGGTGGTCCATGGGAAGCGAACGGATATCTTCGCTGAATCTCGCCGTCGCTTAGCAGGTAAGACAGGAAATCATCGGATACTTCTTGAAGTACCAGAATATTCGCCATTGCAGAGTCAGAAAGAATGGTACTGATTAGCAGAGGATCGCGGTCGTGCGTTGGCGGGTACTCGGTATCTATCAAGACGTTGTAGCTTGCGACTGATAAAGCCTCAACTTCGATTTCGGCATCCTCAGCGGAGTAGGCGGCCCACTTGTATTCATCTTCATCAAAGTGGAAGGTCGATCCCGACTGTACACCTTGATCGTAGGGCTTAATTTCTCGTTGGGCCATCTCGTCTTGAGCATCCTCCTCATATCCGAGTGCCGTCACACTTGAGGGCAGTCTCTGCACCCAGTAATTGGACTCGTCCAGCTGTGAAACACTACCGGAGCAGATATCAATGGTATCGTAGAGGCGCATGTGATCTGTTGACTCGGAGCCAGTCACGCGTTCGCGTATCAAAATAGCAAGTCTTGCAACGCCAAATTGCAGGGCAGGTAGTAATCGGGCTTTTTCTAGGAGAAACGCCCGCGAGAGAATGGTGCTGTCTTGCGACTGCCCAACAGTAAGGTGCAGGGTAGATTGAACAGTCTTTTGTCCTAGAGATTCCAGGGCTATTGTTCGTAGCGATTGAAGAGTTGAAGGTGAGGCTTTCTCATTATCTTCTGTAAGGAAGATGGTGTACTTGTTCTTTTGCGCGAAGCATCCGGCTTGGCCTAGTTTGACGTCGACTGGCTTGCTTTGATCCAAGTGCTCTGCAAAATGCTCTTGGATTTGTTGCTTAGCTCGTGGAAGATTTTCTGGCGCTACAAATGGGTATATGAGGTTGACATGTGCTGGCCATCTCCCAAAAGCCTTGTCATAAAGCTCGCGCAACTGATCTACGTGGCCGCCCTGCGACCTAGGTGGTATAATACACAGCGCCGTGTCATATGATGTCGTTGGAATCCGCGCAGGTGTGGTAAATGCACCGGTGAACGCCATAACTGGGGTATCGTAATAATTTCAACTGGGAAATAGGATAAAGAAAGAAAAGCAAAGCGGGTTGCTGGAATGGGAACGAAGGCTGGCGATGTTGAACCTGAATGGGCGTACAGTACAGCAATACTTATGCGATGTGATACAACATCCCCAGCCAGCTGTATCCACTCCGCATGGCCGTTGGATTACCAAAACGGGACGCATGATGACTCGGAGTGGGTTTGAGGCTGAGGCAGAGGGCTGAGGCTGAAGTGAGCCAAAGTGACTCATATGCGCTAACCAAAACGGGACGCTGCGCCACGAAAGAGTGGGCTTGCAGGCCGCGCATATAGTGTCTCTCCAAAAACTTTGCCTCGCGAGCGCTTCCTGACTAAAACTAGCCTTGTACTATCCAGGGCTGTAGGTGTCCCTAGATACTGTGTGAGGCTTTTTGCTTTCTGTTTCTGTTATATAATTCATGTATTACATATCTCCCCTATATCTCGTATTAAATCAAACTACAAAAGCTGCATGATATATCGAATATTTTAACCTTTTTGAAGGGTATTAAAAATGAATGATAAGGAAAGCAGAGATTTCACCAATACGGTACGGGTTTTAGTGGGGTTGGAAATACCTGGGAAAACCTTTTGCTATTGTACTTAAGACTGCATCATGTGCATCGTCATCACGGCACACAGCCTCATGCCGCCCTGTCCACACTTACCATGGCCGGACTGCTGGATCTCTCGAGCGAGCTTCTCTTCGAGATTGTTGGTTTCGTAATCACGTCGCCCATCGCATGGCCCGAAGGAAGCACCCGGTGCCGACCGAGCCTGGGCCAGCAAAACTCGTACAAACGCAACATCCAGTGTGTCCCCACACCGGGGCTTGCAGTAAAACACCCGGCGACAAGCCTGTTATTCGCAAACCGGAGGCTGCATTCAGAAACGCAAACGTACCTCGCGAGGAACCCGCAAACGCTTACCCTAGACGTGGCCATCGTCAACGACCATTGGATCTGGCCCACATGGCGAAATCTCCCGCTGCGAATGCAAGTAGGCGCCGTGGACAGGATCGACATACATATTACCCCCTGCTGCACGGACAGCCAGCGAGTACTCCAGACGAATTGGGACGGGTATAGCCGCTTAGGCGAGTGGAGAGACGACGACGATGAGTGGGAACCCATCAGCAAGAGCTTCGCTTGGCAGCTAATGAACCCGCTGTGCAACTTAGTCAACGACAAGCATCTCGACGTTGCCGCCGTCAGCACGCTTGATACATTCCTGCAGCACCTCTTCCCCACCCAATATGAGCGAACAAGCCCCCGCATTTCTGGAATCGAGACGCTGGCCTTTCATATCAACACGAGGCGCTATGGAAATGGAACCCGGCTGCTGGACGAATCCGAAGTGCCGCTTCGCACCGTCAACGGCCTTGCGCACCTGGATTTCAAGCGCCTCTACCCGTGCGATTTAGACAAGTTAAGGTTTTATTTCCAAGACATGCTTGAGTACTTTGAGCTGTGGTTTCGGAAATGCAAACTCCAGCCGCGCGGCGAGGCGAGCATCGGAAAGGCCTTGTTCTACGTTGATGGCGAAGTCGTGAGGGAAATGGATCCGCCCAAGTCTACAGTAAACGGCGTCGAGAGCCTCGCATGACTTGTATTATACGAATATTTATATGGTGGTTTAATGCATAGTGGCAATTATCATAATCTCTTGCAATTCCCCTCACCGTCCCAGAACAACCTCTTCGAACCTCGCCTCAGCTCCTTTCGCAAACATGGCACCAAGCCAATACCCGCCTCTCGCATCCTTCCCTATACAGTTGCCAACGCATACAGAAATTGGATTGCGACTAGTCACACGCGCATCGGTCCCATACACATGGATATACGTGGGCTTGCCCCTCGTCAACCCCGCATTATCATCCTCCTGCTCCTGCTTGCCAGGCACAATCGCAGCCGAGAAATCCGTCTCAAAGAACCGACCTTTGGCCCAGTTTGTAAAGACAAACGGAGCAGGCGCCATGGATGCGTCAGGCGCAGACGTCGTGGTATTATCTTGCTGGTTGGAGCGAATCGCGCGCTGGTTTCCCTCGAGCGCCTCTCTCGTTCCCTGCGCCACGAGATCTTTCCGCAGGCGAGCAGCTATGTGGCCGAGCGGCAGCGCAAGGAATTCGTCTAGGCGGAAGCGCGTGATGATGCCCGTGGCACAGTTGCCTATGTACGCCTTGTTCTTTGGAAGCAGGACTTTGTACACGCTCGTGCATGTCGAGAGTAAGTCGCGCATTCCCATGACGTTTGCGATTTGGATTGGCCGCGCGCCGCGAGACTGTAGGAGCTTATCGTCTGAGGCGACGAGCTGTCGGACGAGCCATGCGGCTTGGATGTCGCCGTCGGAGAGGAATGGTTTGGGGCTGGAGGGAGTCGAGTTCTTGTAAGTCATCTGCGACGGATCCAGTGAGGCGAGATCGTGCATTGCTTCTCTTCGTATGCGGGCTATGTAGGAGGCAGGTATGTAGAGGATACGACCACTCAGCATGCCCGTGGGTCTAAAGACGTAAGAGTAAATGTAGGCGAACGCAGACTTGAAGTCCAGCATTTTGCCCAGCCTGCTTTTCGTGGCTGAGATTACCTTCCACATCCGATTGCGCTGCTCTTTTTGGTTGAATGTCTTTTGTATGGGACTCTCCTTGCTTGCGTCATTGTCCTCTTCTAACGGCGCACCAAGCTTCTCCAAAGGATCAAAGTCGTATCCCCAGAATTCAGCGACATCTTCGTCTCGTCCCTCCAGCACTGCTGTCCACGCGCTCAGCAGCATCCGTCGTCCCATGCCGTCCAGCAGCGTATGCAACCACGTAAGCGTGACCAATGTCGCATCTTGAAAGTTTACTATATGTAATCCTAACTGCGCTTTGTCGCTGTAAAGCCAATCGTCAAGAAACACTGTACTATCCTTTGTCTGTGTAAGCCCACGCAATGAATACAGTATGTCAAAGACTTGTATCTGGTCACCATCCTGGATAGTTGGAAAACGACGTCCAATGTGGTGTTCGTCCAGTCTCATGTTGTGCGTCTTTTGCGTAAAGTTGATGGGTTGTCGATCTTGTGTGTATTGGGCGGGGACATGATACTCGAGCTTGCCATTCTGCTTGTTCATACGTAGTCGGGCACCTAGTTTCTTCCAGCCGGGCTTTTCCAACAGTTTCCAGAGCGCATCTGCAATCTGGTGCGCATCTAGAACGTTGTCGATGCGCATGGTGAATTCTACTGAGATGTTGCGGTTCTGGTGGGTGTCATCGCGACTGTGCAGTGGTATGATGGTGTCGGTTGGTATGCGTCTTGGTGAGGACCGCTGTCCAGTGACAAAGTTGAATAGAGATGACATGATGAAACTTGCGGAGGATTCTCAAAGTTTAGAAGGGAAGAAATGTATAATTGAAGGAGGAATTGCGTGTGAATTGCAGGTCAATCCTGATATCTGGTGGTCATTCTTACAGCCTCCTTTCGTGGGATCAGTGGGGAATGCAAACGTCCATGGTGTGTGGGAAGTAAGAGACTAAAAGGAAGTCATGCGAACTGAACGCCTTACGCGGTTGGAAGCTTGTATGTGACATTACCTAGCCTCATTTGCATTCCTCTGCTTGAGGGCATTGGTGGGGCAGTTGGGCGTCTTATATTGCATGCAGAGTGGCTGGTACGGGTTATTGCTTACATGCAGCTCCTTGTGCACGCCCGTACGTCATTTTTGAGAAGGTGTTTGGCCTAAAACGAGCTTACAAATGCAAGCTTTGAAGTTGAACTGCTATCAGGGCGATGCATGTGCTGTACGCGAGAGGTCCATTGCACAAGCCCCTACTCGCCTAACTCACCGTAGAACAAAGTGGGTGTATCGCAGAGAAAATAAAACCGATTTCTCTAGACTCTGTGGCTTATTAGTATGTATTCTGCGACACGGTGAATATCGTACCATGTAAAAGATCATTCTGAGCTTTCACGTCTCTCGCTTACTGTACAACCGTGACATTATGCAGGAAAGTATTGGCAAAACTAGGACTTGGAGATGGTTTTGCTGTTGATTGGAGATAACACCTAGATTTATTATTTCCGCCGTGATCAAGCATGTGGTCAGGCTGCTCCTTCAATCCCTCAATATTCAAGCGACTCATGGTCCTGGTCGAGCAATATATGCTTGCAGCTGCATGAGAAGTATCTCAACCGGTACGTTGTGCCTGCCTCGTTTTAAAACGACACAATTTGCTTCGGCGTATCTGCTTCCATCGACCAACTCTTGGGCCTTCTCTGCTCCTAGCAAATCCGTCAGGCTATAGACGGCGACTTTCTTTCCCCGCCAGGTAGTGGCGTGGAACTCGAGCTCGGGAAACTGCGCGCGAGGCTGCAGACGGGGCACGATAGGCCCAGAGTACCAGTGAGGCGATGTGTGGGTGACTCCTGGAGCAGTATGAGGATCAAGCCTCGAAGCAAAGTTCTTGGCGAAGTAGTTTGACCATTTTTCCAGCTCCTTCATGTTTTCCTCGGCTTGGTTCTGTAAGTCATCGGCACGCGTCCGAAGCGAGCGGAAGATGAGCACAGAAGAGACGTCTTGGACGTGCTCAATGTCTTCAGTTCGGGGACTTGGGACGGGGATTAGGCGGCCCCTGAATCCAAAGTACCAGCCCAGGCTGTTGGAGAGTTTCTTGCGCAGCATTTCAAGTATGAAATCGTGCATATCCTCGCGCCAGACCAGGTTCTTCATGTTGTGTGCGCCGAGCTTTTCGCTCATGCGTGAGTATAGGCCCTTCTCCCAGGCTTTCTTCTTGCCCAGATATGCTGTAACCAGATGTCTTCCAAGAAAGCGATATGGCGGGCCGAGGTGTTTCCTGGCAGTCGTCAGAGCGACTGGAAGAAGCCATGGATCCTGGGTTGTTGGATGAGGGCGTGGATGGAGAGAGGTCAGGAAAGCGACAGGGAGCGAGATGAAGGTCGCGCGGCATTGGCGCACCGGCGATGCCAAGGCATGGGCTGTGCAGTCAGTCAGGACGTGATGCTTCGCAAGACATGCGGCGTCGTACCGAACGGATTCTCCCACAGCCTCCGCTGCGTGGGCGTGAAGTCTGCTACCTGTGGCCTTTCCTTCTTCTGCTCAAAGCGCGATCTCTGCTCCAAGACCAGGGGGTCCAACAGCGGGGGCAGCGGAAGCTCTTTTGCCTGCTTGTCCTGGCGAAGGCGAACAGTGTGGTAGTCGTCGTCGTCGCGGGTGGGGCCGAGATGGGCGCCCTGGAGGATGCGGCCGGGGGCGTGGGTAGAGCTTGCGCAGCGTGGGAGCCGCAGAGGCCGCCGCCTAGCTGGGCTCACGCAGGAAGCTGGGCGATGGGTCCATCTGCCTAGCATTGGGCGCGAAGAAAGGGCGGGGATGCGGTGGGGAGAAGTCTTCTCAACGCTTCGCGACTGTTGGCATCGGACCCCCGGCTTGGCACGCGCCATAGCTTCGTGCCTGCTTGGAGGGCGAGCACCCAACACCAACCTCACACACACCATGGCTGCAGTATCACGGCGAATCGCAAGGCCGTCGGCGCTACGGGCCGCTTGCAGACATGGCATCCGGCCCATGTCGAGCCAATTCGGCTTCCAGTCGCAGTGCAATGCCCAGCCGGCGGAGCAGCAGACGCCACGCGCCATATCACTTCCCATACCCTACGTGACCGAGACCACGGTAAGCGCCAATTGCCCCCTTCGGCCCAGGCCTTGTCTGAATTCCTAGGGTGGAGGCTGGAAAACCTCAGACATCTTCTCGCGTCTTCTCCAAGAGCGCATCATCTGCCTGAACGGCGAAGTAGACGACTACATGTCGGCCAACGCCGTGGCCCAGCTCCTCTTCCTGGAAGCCGACAACCCGGAGAAGCCCATCTCCATGTACATCAACAGCCCCGGCGGCAGCGTCAGCGCGGGGCTGGCCATTTACGACACCATGAACTACATCCGGTGTCCAGTGAGCACGATATGCATGGGCATCGCCGCGTCCATGGGCTCCTTGCTTCTTGCTGGCGGTGCCGAGGGCCAGAGATACATCCTGCCACATGCTCGCGTCATGATACACCAGCCCAGTGGAGGCTACCGTGGCAAGGCGAGCGACATTGCGGACCACGCAAAGGAGATTCTACGGATACGGGACAAGTTGAACAGAATCTACCTGACCCACATCACCAAGAAGCGCACTCTCGAAGAGATTGAAAAGTACATGGAACGTGACTATTTTATGGATGCGCAGGAGGCGGTCGACTTTGGCCTTGTGGATAAGATACTCGAGCGAAGAGAGGCCCCGGCCAAGGAAGGGGAGAAGAAGTAACGCTGCCCACTCTGCAAGGCCACTGCGAGCTACAAAAGCAGCACCAGCGATGAATGAACACAGTTTCCCCCTTGATACGGACAGACCAATGTGCCAGCAATCTCCTGTTGGTCCATGGCTCGTTGCTTGTTTTTCTCTTCTTCTCTCTAACAGACGTGGAAAGGTAAACTCATGTGGCAGGTAGAGATTGGCCAGGCGCCCGGTGCTATCTGCATGTCTCCAGGTTCCGAGGATCAGCCTCCTTCTGCCGACCGAGTGACTTGGCCTGGTCACACTGCATTGTGCGCGTTTCAAGAGCATGGTGGTGGTGGTAGTAAGCGGCACATCATTTGTTGTTTGTTCTACTGTGCCTCCTGCACGCTGCCGCGCCGCGGCGGCTGACAATCAAAGACGCGGCAACAGCTCGCCAGCGATTGCGACAGACATGCTTTCACAACGCAGACTCTTCTTCGCCACTTGGTATTGTTTTGCACCGACAAGGTGAAGGCCGGAGCCCCGCACGTGAGAACGCACATCCAGCGCTAGTCCCCACCTTCCTAATCCGCTCGCCCGTCACCGGTTGTATCTCTGGACTCGGAGGTTGTTTGCTTACTTCGCTCTGGTTGAACTCGCCCCGCGTACCCAAGACCTGTATCGCTTTGCTGTAGTCTGCGTCGAGTCTGAATAGGCGCTGCAGCCATCGCTCGCCATGGACATATTCATCACAAACGTAAGTAATCCGCCAGCGCACTTCAGCCTTGGTAGACCTCCCCGACAGAGCACCTTTCGCAGCGGAAGCTGCAGGAACGCGTTGAAATATAACAAAAAGGGCTTTCAATCATTAACCCCGCATTGCTAGGTGCCCGAAGATGCAAACCATGTCGAGTTGCAGATCTTCCTGAAAGACACGCTGCTCAGGCTGGATGTGCTGGTATTCGAGATTAGAAAGTTTCGGGGCCGCAATGGGGACTCATACGCTATCCTCACGATTCCGAGCACTAGCCATGCGAACAGGTTTCTGCAGTTCTATGGCAGTCGCGGACAACAGGTTCCTTTGTACCACCTGTTCTTCCAAGGCCGCAAACTCACATGCAGGAAGAACAACAAACCTGGACAGCCAGATCCGCTCAAGATCCGGTCGTTACAGGAGAAGGACGCAGCCATGAGGTCAAAAATGGGCAGCCAAGCGCCCGCAGCACACACTTCGCGAGCTGGTAAATCGACACTCTCGTTCTCGGCGCTCATGCTGGGAGTATGGGACTACGACAGCGAAGAAGCACTCTGCTTCCAGGAGAAATATAGGGACAAGAGACGAGGCTATGTCACATTTGGAAAGTCATCTTTGGTGGTGAGTTGACTTGCTTGCCCATCTAAGAACCCAGGGCAGTCCGCTTACACGGTTGTGTAGTTGTTTTTACAGGAGGATGTCGACGAGCCTTACAACTGGCATTGCAGGATTGACGTGCCCTATGCGATCATTGAACACGTTGTGCCATCCTACAATAGCGGAAAAGTTGGAAGAAATGGCGCCATTACCTTCACCCTGAAATCCCCGCCAAAATTCTATAACATCAAGTCCACCGACGATCTACATTTGTACACTGGCAAAGAAACTTTTCCGACTTCAAACAAGCTGCCAGATTTGGCGTCACTCAGCTTGTACCCAAAGCAGAGGACAAATCAACTCGAAAGACTTTGCGCGCTCGATGCCCAGCGCACCAAAACCTCGGCTTTGTGCATGGTGTACCAAATCGCCTTCTATGACACGCAAAGCGCTCAGCATGCTTGGAACTTTGTAAAGGAATATTCAGTTCCTGAAAAGTATTGCTGGAAGACTGTGACATCTAGGACCCGTACTCATACCATGGAAGAGGAGTTTACGGTCGTTGATGGCAAACTGAGCAAGTACGATCCATCCATCCCGCTCGCCTTCGACTTTGCGACCCGCTACCAACTTGCAGCGCTCATGTTAGAAGGCACCATTACCCCTTTGCAGATGATCGACCTCATACCCCGCATTCACCGTATCGCAAAGCAGCATGGCGCAGAATTTACTGCTGCTGCAGTCAAGCGACTAGGACAACAAGTACCTACGCCAGGTCCACACGTTGCAGCCAAGGCCTTCAAGATGGACACCCTTGTAAAGCATGTGCAGGAGAACATTGAAGACTGCGCAAATCGAGAGGCAGCTTCCCGTGATTTGAATGGAAAAATAAAGAAGCACTCTCATCTTGCTCTGACTTACAAAGCGACTGTAACACCCACTGGTATGTGTAGGGCTCTTTACGTTTGGCTGTTTTCATGGCTAATAGCATTTACCAGGCATTTTACTCCGGGGTCCGGATTGGGATGTGTCCAACCGCGTTCTCCGCAAATACAATAAATATACTGAGTACTTTATGAGGGTCTTCTTCGCCGACGAGGATGGACTATCGGTATTTCATGACCCCCGCGCTTCCCAGGTGCAGGTGTATGCACGTTTTCGTTACGCTCTTCAGGGCGGGATCGTGGTAGCAGGGCGGTCCTACCAATTCCTCGGTTTTTCTCATGCCTCGCTACGCGGTCATCAGGCTTGGTTCATGGCACCTTTCTACATGGATGGATCCCTGGTGCGAGCTCGGGATGTTATACAAGACCTTGGAGACTTTACACATATCCAATGCAGCGCGAAATGTGCCGCAAGGATTGGTCAAGCCTTTTCCGACACAATCTTCTCGGTGCCTATTCCACATGGTTCCCACGTTACCGAGACCAAGGATGATGTCGAGAGAAATGGTAGAGTATTTAGTGACGGTTGCGGAACGCTGTCACTGGAGCTTCTCCGTAAAGTTTGGGCAGCTCTTCCACCCGAGCGCAGACAGCTGAGACCGACTGTTTTGCAGATTCGCTACCGAGGTGCTAAAGGAGTTTTGTCTCTTGATACTTCTCTGCCCGGAAAACAGCTCCACGTCCGCAAAAGCATGACAAAATACATAGCCAGAGAGACCTGGAGAGACCTAGAGCTTTGTGGGGCGGCGTATAAACCCTTGACGGTGTATCTCAACCACCAGTTCATAAAGATATTAGAGGATTTGGGTGTCCCTACAAGGAATTTCTTGGCTGTACAAAATGAGGCCGTCAACGAACTGAAACGTATCACCGAGCATCCTTTGAATGCTGCCAGCTTCTTAGGTAAGTGGCTTTATTGGTTCTGACATCATGGCGGTGTTGTTATATCACTAACGCTCGTTAGAATATTCACACTCTGGTGTTTTTGCCAAAATTCCACTGCTGTTTGAGCTGATGCACCAGATGGACTTGTCATTTCATGCGGATCGCTTCTTGATCGACATTGTAGAGGTCGCAGCCATGTCGAGCCTCAGAAGTCTCAAATATCGCGCTCGAATTCCGATCAAGCATGGCTATCTCTTGTACGGCATCATGGATGAGACAAATACTCTGAAGTATGGCGAGGTGTATATTCGAACACAGGAGTGTGATGCGAGCGGTAAGCTGAGAAAACTGACCCTTGTCGGCGAGCGGATCGTCATCACCAGAGCTCCAGCACTGCATCCTGGCGACGTCCAACTAGTTACTGCAGTAGATATCCCAAAGGACTCGGCTCTCCAGGGCCTCCATAACTGCGTTGTGTTCTCGCAACAGGGGCCGCGCGACCTGCCATCACAACTCAGCGGAGGAGATCTCGACGGAGACCTGTTCCATGTCATCTATGATGAGCGGCTCATTCCCGACTTTACCACGGAGCCAGCAGAGTATGAAAAGACACCTGCCAAGGATTTGGGCCGTCCCGTTGAGGTCGATGACATTATTGACTTTTTCATCGAATACATGAATATGGATCGTCTGGGTCAGATCTCAAACAAGCACAAGATTCGGGCTGACGTAAAGCCTGACGGGACACGTGATCCTGAGTGTCTGCTCCTTGCAAAGCTTGCGTCTGATGCTGTCGATTTCAGTAAGTCGGGTGTTCCAGCTGATATGGATCTCATACCACGAGGAAACTATTCCCTCCGTCCTGACTTTATGGCGCCGGGCTCGAACTTGGTCATCAACGAGATGGGTGCGGCGGAGCTCGCAGAACTCGAAGAAGACGACATTGACGACCCTGATAGCGTTAGCTTGCTAGATGCCGACAAGGCCAGAATTCGCTACTACCGGAGCAACAAGATCCTTGGGGTGTTGTACCGCGCCATTGACGAGAAGAAGTTCTTTGATAAGATGAAGAACGATTTTGAAACATTCCGAGAGAGCTGGGGAGGCGAGTCTTTGGTCCAAAAGCTCAAGCGTTATATCGAACGCGAAACGAGGGGACTGCAGTGGGAGCATCATTGGCAATTCGGAGAAGAGCTACGCGAAATCTACGAAGACAACATGTTTGAGATTATGGACACTCTACGTCCCACGCGCGGCGCGCCCCTTACCGAACTTGAAGTATTTAGTGGAAACATTCTCGGCAAGAAGGAACGAGCCCCTTCTCGGTATATTCGTGAGGCAAATCTCGAAGTCCAGGAGCGCTTCAATCGCGATGTTAGCGGCATAATCAGAATGATTATTTCGGGCGAGCAGGACTCGGATGTCGATGGGGGCACCGAGGCGTTACCGCGATCCATTGCGTGCTTCATGGTGGCATTGGAGGTCGAGGGCTGGGAGAACTATCGCAGTCTGAAGAGTTGGAAGTACGTGACTGCTGCTGTCTGCTTGGAGCAATTGTGCAAGTACAACGGTGGAAGGCTGCGGCGACTCTGAATTGAGCGGCCCTGTTACTATATTTGCTTATGGTATTACCTTGCACAAGATGTAAAAAGTTAGTACTACATGTGTAGCAGAATGTATCGTAGCTGGATCAAGTATCTAGCACTAACTAATCAACTGACTAATCGAAGTACTTTAGTAGAAATACTGACTAGTTACAAAAGTAGTAATAATCACTTAATATAACGTACTACACCAGTGAGGCGGCCAAACCAGTGAGCCGGCCACTTTTTCTTGGCACTGCGAACACCATGTACAAACAATTAAATTACTTAACACTACAGACTAATCCTTCGTACGAGACACTTGCATTAGATTTAGAATCTTCTACTATATCTTTTTAGCACGTACAAGCGTTGTGCCTAGTCTTACCGCAGTTGCTATAGCGCTGTTAACCTAGTTAGGCTGGTTCTTAACTACCACTACCACGCGCTCTCTTTGCTATCGTACAACTACTAGAAGCACTCTTAGCTACTGTTAATGCTGCTGCACCATACTCTAGTGTCCCGCTATGCTAGATCCGCTTTCGCTTTTAACCTTTGCGCTTTGTAACCTCTACTAATTGCTCTTTAAGCTCTTATACGCGAGCTTTAATTAGAATATTCTTATATAGCATCTCTTCTGCTCCTTTAATAAGCTTTAAGAAGCTTTCTTAAGCACTTATTAGTAATTATACAAAGGCTTCTCTTATAAGCCTTAATTACGATCCAAATTTAAGCGGGTTACTTAGTGTTCTTAACTGCTAAGGCGTTTCTAGGATAGGTGCTAGTGATAGCGTATAAAGCTGCACCTTAAGGCGATCTATAACCACCTACGCGTTCATAGGGACAAGTCCTAAAGCCTTAAAGGCCTTTTTGTAGTTATTATACGTAAACACGTTAAAAAACGCGTGTTTAAAGGCTAGAAGGAAGCCTTCTTTGTTGATATAGTAGACGCGTTAGCGTGCTAAGTCTTGTACGCGTTAAGAGTACTTTAATTTTAATAGTAAGAAACACACTATATTAAGTAGCTAAAGGATGTGCAATAAGTAAGAGGGCATACGGAGGTGACTGTCAAAAGTTCTTGCTGACAGGGGTGCATTGATTTACCGCCGAAAATAGGGCCGAAGCGCTGTAGATCAGTCCCGCCGCCCCTCTTTGTACTTATTGCCACCTTTAAGTTTAATAATTTCTTGAATATAAAACGAAATACTCTCTATCTAAGCTTGAATTTGGTGTTAAGGTAGCTTATCCTAGTACTGTTGCTATACTTTTGTCCCTTCCGCCCGACTTTTTAGTGCGCCTCTTCGTGTTGTTTTTCTTTGAAGCTATATTATTATTATTATTATTATTATTATTATTCTAGTTTAACGTCCTTTTTCAGCCCAAAGGGCTATATGAGACTTGTAGGGTTTTTAGGCCTGCAAGTATCTAAGTAGGTTGTTTCTAGCTACGATATTTAGGAGGGGTTTTAACTAGATGAAGGTAAGGCTCGTAGCCTATTGGTTGGTAGGTAGGGGGGGGATAGGGTGGGGGAGGTGTATGGCTACCTGTTACAGGTATTACTCCTCGTTTTCTGTGTTTCCCTTGTACCAGGCTTGTGTTCTAGCCTTTGTTTCTTAAATAAAGGTAATAGTTGCTTCTATACCCTCTTTTGTTTAAAAGAGGATAGGTAGTGATAGATAGCCTTCGCAGGCTTCTCTTAGTCCTTTTCTTTTCTCTCTATATAGATTACATCTAAATAGAATATGAGGTAGGTCTTGTATAGACCTATAGTTGCAGGGGCAACTATTAGAATCTACTTTCCCTCTCTTATATAGGTAGTCCCTTAGGTAACAGTGCCCTAGACTAAGTTAGTAGAAAGCGCTAGAAATCTCTCTTCTAGTATTGCTAGGAATAGCGATTTGCTTTCTTATCTTCCACTTGTATTTTGCTGCGTACGTATGTGGATT